CCGCACGCTCCGCGCGCCGCATGATCCGACCCCGGATCCCACCTCATGTGACTTCCGGGTATCCCCGGAAGTTTTTGCCATATTGGGGCCACTGTGGGAAAGTGAGAAGTTAACCTTCTTCTCACTTTCTTACCCACAGTAGGCAAGTGTAGCCTACTCTTCATTTATCTATACACTTTCTTACCCACAGTAGCTATGCCCTGAGATGGGCTGTGTTTACAGGCCAGACTGTGGACTGTAGAGAGGGGTCATGGGGACCCGGGGTCCGTCCCCTGACAACCACCCTGCTAGACTCCGGCGCGACCAGGAACTTTGTGAACCCAGACTTTGTCCGGAAGCACAGGCTCGAGACGACCCCGCTCCCCCAACCCATCCCAGTTCGCAACGTGGATGGGATGCCTAACGAGAACGGAGCCATCACAGAGGAACTGGAGGCCTTGTTGACATTCAGCCAACATATGGAGTGCGCCCGCTTTGCTGTAGCGAACTTAGGGCAGCAGTCCCTCATCATTGGGCACTCATGGTTGTTACACCACAACCCAGAGGTCGACTGGGCACAGCAGAAGGTCGTCATGTCCTGCTGCCCCTCCTCCTGCCAATCGCCGCAAGCAGATGTCAGGCAAGCCCTCGAAGTAGAACCCAGCGATGGAATCTACGCTGCCATAATCCCACCGGGGTGGGGACACGACCTAAGGGCAACCACAGCACCGTCCCAATGCCTGGCGGAGGAAGCCCAAGACACAGAGGCGAAGCCGCTGACGCTGGAAGAGCTGGTACCCAAGCACTACAGGGACTTCCAGGATGTGTTCTCAAAAGAAGCCTTCGACGTGCTGCCCCCGCAAAAGCCCTGGGACCACGCCATTGACCTGACCCCTGATGCCAAGCTACCCAGAGGCAAGACGTTCCCCCTATCCCGGCCAGAACAGAAAGAACTAGATGAGTTCCTGCATGAGAACCTGCAGAACGGGCACATACGCCCATCGAAGTCGCCAATGGGTGCCCCGTATTCTTCATCAAGAAGAAGGACGGATCCCTGCACCTGGTTCAGGACTACCGAAAGCTCAATGAGATAATGGTCAAGAACTCGTACCCCCTCCCACTCATCTCCGACGTCCTTGCATGCCTTCAAAATGCAAAGTATTTCTCGGCGCTGGACCTGCGCTGGGGGTTTAACAATGTGCGGATCAAAGACAGGATGAGTGGAAGGCAGCGTTCGCAACCAACCGAGGCCTGTTTGAACCCATGGTAATGTTCTTTGGACTGTGCAACTCCCCAGCAACCTTCCAAACTATGATGAATGACATTCTTCGGGATTTCATTGACCGAGAAGTCGTCATCTGTTATATGGACGACATCTTGATCTTCACGTCCACCCTAGAGGAACACCGGAAGGTCGTGCGGGAAGTGCTGGGAACGCTGCGGAAGAGGAAACTCTTCCTCAAACCCGAGAAGTGCAAGTTCGAGCAACGCTGCATCGAGTACCTCGGACTTGTCATCTCCGAAGGCAACGTGGCCATGGACCCGGTGAAAATCCAAGGAGTCCTCGACTGGCCAACGCCGACGAAGGTGAAAGAAGTGCAGTCCTTCTTAGGCTTCGTAAACTTCTATCGCCACTTCATCAAAGACTTCTCCGAGACAGCGCGCCCGCTCCATGTGCTAACCCGCAAAGCGAAGGTCTGGGAATGGGGAGAGAGCAAAGAAAACGCCTTCAACGCTCTTAAGAAAGCCGTCACCTCCGCCCCCGTCCTCGCCTTCCCCACCGCCAGCGGCCGCTACAAACTTGAGTGCGATGCCTCCAACTTCGCCACCGGCGCCGTCCTGTCCCAGCTCCAAGCCAATGGCGAATTCCACCCCATAGCCTTCATGTCCAAAAGCTTCACTGAGGTAGAACGAAACTATGAAATCTACGATAAGGAAATGCTCGCGATAGTCCGAGCGCTAGAAGAGTGGCATCACTTCGTAGAAGGAGTGGAAGAAAAGGTCGATATCTACACCGACCACCGTAACTTGGGCTATTTCTGCACTGTGCAGTGGCTGAATTGCCACCAAGCACGATGGTCACTCTTCCTAGCCCGTTTCCACTTCACCCTCATCCACCGCCCAGGGAAGCTTATGGGGAAACCGGACGCCCTCTCACGCCACGCCAACCACCCAAAAGGGAAGGACGACAACGAAAGCTTGACCCTCTTGCAGCCAGAGTGGTTCGAAACCCACATGACTGAGGCTGTCACAGTGGAGGGAGAAGAGATGACCATCCTGGAGAGGATACACACGGCGAAGGACCGCAATGAGAAGGTGGTGAAGGCACTGAAGGAATTAGGAGACGGGACACTCAGGTCAGATGAATGGAGCAAAGACGGAGAACTGGTCCTCTACCGAGGAAAGGTGTATGTCCCGAAAGACATGCAACTCCGCCAGGACCTGGTGCGGCTACACCATAATGCGCGGGCAACAGGGCACCCAGGGCGATGGAAAACCCTGGAACTCATCTCCCGTGACTACTGGTGGCCCCGGATGGCGGAGTACATGGGCCGCTACGTAGCAGGGTGCGATGCCTGCAACCGAGTCAAATTGTTCCCTTCACGGAAGGTAGGGAAACTCATGCCGAACAAGATCCCCACCTGCCGCTGGCAGGTAATCTCTGTAGACATGATCAGAGAGCTCCCCAAGTCAAAAGGTTACAATGCCATCCTGGTTGTAGTGGATCGCCTCTCCAAGCACATCCATGCAATCCCCACAGTCACAATGGTGGACTCGGTGGGAATCGCCCGACTTTTCCTTGAACATGTCTGGAAGCATCACGGCCTTCCCGAGGAAATTCTCAGCGACAGAGGGAGCGCCTTCGTCTCCCAGTTCTCCAAAGAACTAGCAGCCCTGCTAGCGGTCAAATTGACCCCCTCGACGCCCTACCACCCACAGACAGACAGACAGACAGAGCGGGTAAACCAAGAGATAGAAGCATACCTCCGAGTGTTTGTCAACCACTGCCAAGACAACTGGGCAGATTGGCTCCCGCTAGCGGAGTTCTCCCATAACAACCGCATCCACGCATCCACGCACCGCACCCCCTTCGAGCTCGACACCAGCCAGCACCCCAGAATGGGGACAGAACCTACGCGCACGTCAGAAGTTGAAGCCACAGATGCATTCACCTCGAGGATGATGAAAATGCAAGAGGAGGCGAAAGCGGCGCTTGAGCATGCAGCAGAGGAGATGGCCCGCTACTATGACCGGAATCAGGAAGCGGCACCTGAGTACAAAGAGGGTGACCAAGTCTGGCTCAGCACCCAAAACTACACCATGGACTGCCCAACCAAGAAGCTGGATCACAAATGGACAGGCCCCTTTAAAATTCTCAAGGTTGTATCCCCTGCCGCTGTCAAGCTCCAACTTACGGCATGGCAAAAGGGAGTCCACCCAGTGGTGTCAGTAACAAATGTCCGACCCCACCGCCCAGACAAGATCGCCGAACGACCCACCAACCCTTGCCTGAGAAGGTCCTCGACTCCTGCTGGCACCGCAGGAAGCTCTGGTATTTGGTAAAGTTCACAGGCTGGCCAAACTCCGAGAATGAATGGCTCCCCCTTGACAACCTCGCCAATGTGCGCAACCGGATCGAGGAGTTCTACAAAGTGCACCCAGATGCCCCCGGGAGAGAACGAGGAAACCCTCTAGCCACTTCAAGGCGAAGCGGCTTAAGGGGGGGTGATGTCAGGGCACGCTGCTGCTGCCACCGCCACCTCCTCTTCCTTTTGTCTCATCCTCTCATTCTCTCTTCTTTCCTTCTCTTTTTCTATCTTTATACAGATGACCTCTCTTTCTTTCCTACCCTTGTAGCATGGATGCGTCCGACGCTGAGCACCCTGTAAGGGCACTGCAATGCCGGACACGCCGTGCACTCCTACTTGTACTTCCCCTCCAACACTTGGGATCAACCATGGAGCCACCCACGGTAACCCAGCTTCGTCTGAGGGTGACATGGCACCTCCATGTGACCCATTCACACATGTATATAAACTAAGCCAAAGCAGGACCGAAGAAGTAACCTTCTTCTCATTTCCCACTTCAGGCAAGTACCCTAGTTTAGTCTGGCTTCCCACCCTAATAACAATACATTTCCTGCTTCAGCCTAAGAAGCCACACAGGGACGTAAGCCCGAGTGAGGGCTGCCCATTATACAGTCTCACCGCCCCACCGCCGTCCGGGCTGCTAGCGCTGAGCGCTACGCCACTACCTCTGCCTTCCTCGAGCCGTCCCTGACACAAAGCCCTCTGCCATGGAGACATTCCTTCGTCTCGACCTGGTCTCTGACAATTACCATCAGGAAGGTGTCAAGGTTAGGATTGAGGTGATGTCAGAGCTGGAGGTGGGATAACCTCTTGGGAGTTGACAGGGGAAGGGTGTCAGAAAGGATGTGGGGTTCCAGAGTTGGTTTTGGAGTTCCAGATGCCTGGATCAGAGGTCAGGATTGTATGTTATGAGGGCTCAGGCTCATGCCCTCACAGGTTTTGACAAGGCCAGGTATGCTTGCAAAGGCAGCCATTGAGAAGGAAGAGCTGAATAGGGGAAACAACACAAAAAGGAGGTGGAGAAGAAGCAGCATATCAATGAAATTAAGCAAACAGTGCTGATGGATGATGTTGAATGGGTCAAGAACCCAAAAACTTCCATTAAGCAGCTATTACCCAAGATCAGCCCATAGACTCATCCACACAGGAATGCCATATCAAAGAATGCTGATATGGTTCAGGAATTGGTGTTAGCAATAGGACAGAGAAGACTGGAAGTATTGAATGAGGATGAGGACACAGGCAGTACAGTGATTGGCATGATCATGATGTATTGGATTCAGAGAGCATAGAAGAACAAATTGAGGACCAGGAATAGAGTGGGTCTGACTGCATCAATGACTTCTGACATGATTTTGCATGGTAAATGAAAAACAGTGCCCTAGCCACTTTTTGAGAGTGAAAACATGTCACATGAGGCATCATGCTTCACTATTGACCATTATATTGTCTCTGCATCCTCTATAACACAAATGTGATGCAACTGACAAATTGGACATGAGGATACTGTTCCTAGGCTGCCATTCCCCTCAATCAATCAAGTGTTTGCTCCAGACAGGGGTAAAGGGTTATGTAGCTCCCTCAGCCACAAACCTCCACAGGTGTGTCAGAAAGATCCTGTGAGGGTTTAGCCAGCATCTCAAAAGCATACAGCAGTGACATACAGGAAGTGGCTCTAATATGGCATCATTTTCCTGAACAACATCCAGTGTTAAACCATTGCATCTAGCATTCATCCAGATCAGCTTGCCCAAATTTTTAATGGGATCTTACTCACTGAACATTCAGTTCTGGTGAAAATTGGTACTGTTGAAATGAATGTGTCAAGGAAGACCATTGAAGCATCCAAATGCAGTGGAGTATTCCAGCTTCTTTGATTATAACTTTCCTCCTGTTGAAAGTCCTTTGGAGTGCAATGGCAGATGCTATACCAACAAGGAGTGAAGAAAGACAGCCAAAATAAAGTGGGACACTGTGGATGGTGAAACGTGCAGACAGCACTTGTGTTGAACCATAAACAGTGGCAGTGGCCTGGAGAGGTTGCCAGGAAATACCACTAATGGGAGCCTGGGTCTGATATTTCATTCGCCAATGTTGGTCAAGCATTCCTACCCAAGTTGCAGTGAAAAGACTAAGCTGATCTCCAAGTCCAGATATTTCACCAGTGGCAGCAGCTGTTCCATGGCATATTGAAGCCTGAATCCAGGAGTTATGGGCAGATATTTTTGATTCAGAATTGACTAATAGATATATCAGGCCCCCCCAGATCTTCTCTATGATGTGAGTTGGTTCTTTTGGCCATATGTATCCTGGTGGTGGTTTAGGAATTTCTGCCAGAGCTGGGATAAATGACTTCAACTTATTATCTGAAGTCACTACAGCTGTCCCATTGAGTACATGAAGTGCACATGCAATAGGCCAAACATATAATGTAACGTTCACAGTCTCCAGCTTCTTTGTTTTATTGATGTAGTGGCCTAGTTCACTTGATGCTGTTTGCAAAGTAAATCATGAGTGCACTCTGGGCCTAGGTTGAACTTACAAATGCTATCATTCTGAATATATGTCCATATTTGCATTGGAAAGGTAAGAGCATAGGAGCCTGTCAATGGCACTCCTCTGTCCAGAAGCACATGTGGACTTTGAGCAATGCGGGCCAGGGAAAGCACTCCAGTCTGATTCTGTAGTGGCTGAGAGGATAGAAGGGGTTCAAGTGTATCTACACCTGAATGTATATTGAGCATCCTTCACTAGTGGTCAGGCCCATACTTGCCAAGGTTAACAATTGGTGATGATGACTCATTTGGTTTGAACAGTACTGGTTTGTCCAACTGGACAAAATGTCTACCTCTGACCAGGTAGGTGGTGCTTAAATTAGGAAATAGGTGAACCTGAGTGGGTAAATTGAAATAAATCCAATATTGTGCTGTATCATTATTCTAGGTGCTTGGTGAGTTAGTTGCAGAAGGAGCTCATAATTCTATTTTACCTCAAGCACTGAGTACCCAGTATATGGATATGTTGGTTGAGGGACTATACTGCATGATGTAGTGTACTTTGTTGCAAATGGATCAATGAAAATCCCCCCATAGGGGCCTGAAGCATTGAGTATGCTAAATAGGACACCGGAAAAGAAATAAGTGAGGAGGCATGGGGAAAGCATGCTGCCCTTACGTTTCATTTGAACCAAGAGGACTCCCAATGTTTCTGAGGCCAAATGAGGTATAGTCAAGTACATATGCAGCTGCTGCAAGAACATCTGCAATGTCATCAACAAACTTGGAAGAAAATGAGATGTCACTCCAGAGCCCTGGAATTCTATCAACTGTAAATTGTGTGGAGATTGAAGCATTGAATACTTCTGTTGTCACAATAGCTGGTGTTGCAACATGTGTGACCATGATCCCAACAAAGAAAACAAAAACCCAAGTCAATTGGAGTTGACTGAGAATTGTTGAAAACTTTGCAAGGGAGAAAATGCAGAAGCCAAGCCCTTGACGCCAGGCAGCTAGCATGTAGTGCAATGCCCCCAAAGGCATTCCTGAAGTTGATATGATCAGATGGTCAGTCTGGGTGATATCAAAGAGTAAAAGGAGACCTCACTTTTTTGAAGTGAGGCATCACAGGCAAGTGATGAAATGGACAGAGTGACTAATGCTGACACTATAACAGTAAAACTCTCTTCAGATGTCAGCAGGATCTGGTTCATAATGCCCAGGTGCTTGACATCAAAGTATAAATGGTCCAAAACATGCACCATGGACAAAGCAACCAGGCAGCCATGGAAAGAAATTAGTGCAAACACCCCTGCTGTGCCAATAACCCATAGGCCCATTGCATTAGTGGCACGGGGAAGCTTAGCATCTGATCCTCCCCCCAAGCCTTCTTGAGTCCACATCCCATTATGCAATCCATTTATTTGATGTGCCCCCAAAGGCAGCTGTGCAGGAGTCCTTTAGAGGTGATTGTAGTGTGAAATCACAAAAATTCCCTCACAATGGTGGATTGGGCTTGGAGGACAAGATGTCCTTCTGAATATCTGTGAATGAATGGGTCATGTTTCAGAAGATGTTTAGTGGAACTCCACCACTTACTCAGTGATTGCACTGACTATATGCCCATAGTCTAGGTAATCATTGTGTTGGGGACAGCAACATGACATAGAGCTAGTGTTAGAATGAGAGCCAGCAAGTAGAGATATCATGTCAAATAAGCTGCCATCATGGACAACCTGCTGGCATTGCCAATCTGCATCAACTACTGTGCGCACAATCAATGCATCCTGGATAATGAAGAAGGAGACCAACATAAGGCATGCAGAGAACACAGTGACAATAGTCAGAGGGATGTAGGCAATGTGGGTGATGGCTTGGATAAAATGGTGTGTTCCACTTGTATTGTAGTAAATTGGTGTCCAACTCCCATTAGGATTATAGAGTGAGTCCACATGCCAATTCATGAGAAGAACACCTAATGTAAGGGCATAATATGAGGTGAGTTGCAGCTCTAGGCTTGATAAATTCAATGATGGGAATTTGGAATTCAGAGGAGTTGATGTCAGAGCTGAAAGCATGGCCTGCCCAAAAGGTGGCATTCCCCACAGTCCACCCCACCTCCTTCCAAGACTTCCAAACTGGTGATCTTCCAATACATATTCATCAAAGTAAGTTAAAAACAACATGAAGCCAAAATATTCCTCCACAAGGTTGGCTGGATCTGACTTGCGTTCAAAGGGGTAATCAAGGTGCCTTGGTTCAGAGTTGTATCCATGTATATCTGAAATTCCCAGCAGTTTCTGGTCAGATCCTGACACATGTGCAGTTAGATTTTGTGTATACATTGCACAGCCAATTGGCCATATATTGAATGTGATGTTGACAGATTCCAAGGAGATGTTGTGCTTAGCTTGATGGAAGAAGAGGCAATCAACAATCACATTGCACGGTACCAGAAGACATACTTGATGGAGTGATTGGCAGAGATGTATACACCTGAACCTCCTTTGTAAGCTGAATGGGAGAGCCTCGCCTGTCATTCCCCAGTACATAGTTTTTTGTGGTAACAAGTGCCACCACAAAATCACTCCCTTGCATGGGAACTCCAGTGTCCTCTTCATTGAGAAGAACTAGAAATGTGTCATTAACTTAGTGCATGTCACATATTTGATGGCTAGAATCAGAAGCATCCAACTATGATGTGGGGAATGTAATACTTACATGAGAATGGTGGTGGTGAAGCTGGGGTAGGCTTCTCACCACCAAGCACAAAAGTACCCATGCTCTTATTCATTACATTTATGACATTTACATAAGTATTCATATAGTGCAGTGTGGATCCAGGAATAGGAGTAAACTTGGGGCCTAGAGAAAACAATATCCTTCCACCATCTGGATAATCCTGTATTCTCCCTATGAATGATATTCAATACATCAAATGTCACCTCAATGAGTATTGGCTGATGCACCTCTATAGTATCTGAAATCAAAATGATCCCCAGACTGGGGAATAATTCCACATTTGGCACTCAATTTAAGACCCATGTGATCTTCAAACACAATGCCTTCCAAATTTTGATCCATTGTACCAAAAAGAATTCTGAGTTAAATCTTAGCAGATGCTCCCCAGAATAGCAAGGATGTAGCATACGTATCATTTACTCCCCTGGGCCAACTAGCAACACCATGGCTCCTCTGCTTGTAGAGATAGCTGGTTGCAGTGAATGATGCAAATTCATCAAAATATTCAAGTGAGTAAGCATTCATCTTGATGGTCCCTGGCATGGAGTTCACAGTTACTGTTGTTTTCTGTTGCACATTTACCACTCCCACTGAGAACAAAGAAGGTGTGGCAATGTGTACCACAAAGATAGACCCATAAAAGATGAGCACATGAAGCAATTGAAGGCGGACAGTGAAAGTATGGTCCTTGCTGTGCCATAGTGCATGAAATGATGACCCAAGCCCTCACCAGGCCTCAACATTGTCATGGAGTGCAAGAACCAGTTGACCTGCAACACAATTACAACTTGCATCATCACAATGCCCAAAACTCACATCGCTGGATTGTGAGGTGGACTGCAATTGTCTGGATCCCATATGAAAGCAGAGCAAGCAGCAACACAATGATAAGTTGAGGGACAAATGATAAAATCTGTGTTGTGGATTTGATGTGTGCAATGTCAAATTTTCGGTGTTCCAGGAAGGAAGAAAACATCAAGAAGTCAAGGACCCCAAGGAAGGCCAATAGGCCTCCAGATGCAAGAGCACATGCTATGAAATGAAGGTGTAAAGACCTGGGAACAAGCATTGTTGATGTGTCTAAACTTTTGGGGCTGGAGATGCTGCTTATAAGGATGTTGCAATGGGCTCAAGACCATGATATGCAGTGCTTGGCACTCATCAGTTGATCAAGCAGCAAAGATGCACTTGTTGATGGTGATGATCAACACTTTGCAATGGGATTTGATCCCATGGCTGTATCAGCCTCATGTAATCATAAGATTTAACATGAAGCTACCAGAGCCAGAGATGCTATGTCAGTTCGCCTCAACTACTTTGATGGGATTTACAAGTTACACCAGTTCTTTTGTTGTGGCTGACTTGCTTGTGTCAGATGGATCATCATGCCCAGAAAGCCACCAAGATTCACTCATTCATTCCATCACAATGAGGAAGCACACTGCCAAACGTAAGGGTGTGAGCCTGAGCCCTCAGTGTTGGAGAAAGTGCTATGGGAGCAGAGCAAGCATTCTGTGTAGCCATGTTCCCACAGCTGCCCAGGATTCAGACTTCCCCAGATCCTACAGCCTGACCAAGTTACTTAGACCATGTGACTACTCAGTCAAAAGACACTCTTTTCTATTATTTTGGACTGATCTGTGCCAGGCCACAGATATATTCATTCATTGAATTGCTTTCTTTTTTCCTCAGTTCTCACACAATAGCTGAGGTCAGTTACACTATCATTCCATTACTTTGTAACTTACATGATATGTATTTTACCTTTAGCTTGTGCTCATAGATCAATTACTGTGCTTCAATACTCACAAGCATGTACATACACACAGTGTAGATAGTAGTCACATGAGTAGAATGGTGTGGATTGTTACAAAAATGCCATTTCAATGCATCCTTGGCACAGGGAAAGTGGGAAGTGAAGGGTGATGATCCATAAGGTTTTACAGGTGGTTTGACATGTAGTGTAGCAGAGGTTTTCACAGCAGGTTTTTGGTTTGTTACTGATTGATTAAAACTAATTACTATCATGTGATAGGAGCTGTGCACATAGCCCATAAGATGGGAAATTCATTTCTATAACAGGGATCATCCTTCTACTACTGTGAAAATTGCACTATCTGTGACACTTAAAGCCTGAGTGATCCCATCAGACCTTACACTTTTAAGTGGATCCTTGTCAGGGTTTGACCTTCACTCAGAGGGAGGGGGAAATGCTTCAGCCTACTCCCTGAAAACAAAAAACATAAATATATTTGAACAACAAACATATGACTGTAGAGTAAACCCAGTAACTGAAAAAAAGTGTAATCCCAAGTTATGAATGGTCATGAATTCATGAGGCTTCATGAGGCTTCATGCGGGAGCATACACAGTCATCCAGTCTCATGAAATTTTCATGACCAAATTTAAGTTGGAAATTGACAGGACACATTATGCATCCCTGTCACATCCCAGAATCCTGACTCTGACTGACCCCATTACCACCTCCTCCCCTGATACTGTCACCATACTGTTGCATTGATTACCTCCTTCATCCACTCTGTTCCCGGACCCTCCATCCCTGCTCCAGTCCAGGCATCAAGGTTGGCAGATGCTCCATGCTACCACCTCTTCCCTCTGGATTCCCAGACCCACTCCAGAAACCTTCTGGACTACCTTTGGACCACATCCAATTTCCATTACACCTCCCACTCAATTATTATATTCTTCCTCCACCCATTTTATCTATTGGGGTTGCCCAACATTTCTCAGATGTTCAACTCCAGAACCAGAACCAGCTGTGATCACATCCGATGATCCACCCCTGCACTTCCCCCTGACCTTTCCCACAACACTTCCTTTCATTCAGTCAGCTAGTTTGTTACCCATTTCTCATTTCCTATTCATTCCTTCAGGCTTCTTGCACCCTTCCTTGACCCTTGACCTTCTCCAAGCCCTCAATACCATTCTAACTTTTGTCATTGTCCTTTTCTGTCTTCACTTATGTAGTTTAGCAAACCTTGTAAACCAGTTCTGAAATTGACTAGAGTTTCCCCCCCTACAAGATACTGAGGCCTCAGCCCTCTCAAAATTAAGGCATAACAGTGGCACAGTGCTCCCCCACAGAGTTGCTGAGTGTTAGATACTGGTCCAGGGTTGGCACTGGGGGTTGTTGTCATATCCATCCCCGGCCATCGACTTCCGGTGATTCCTCCAGTCCAACTCCGCTCCTTCCTCACTAACCTCGGAGCTCCTGTATTCTGCAATCTTCTCGGTACCCCTCGATGGTCACCACCCCCTCATTTCAATTTATTACCTACGCCTCCCTAAGTACAGAGCCCCGAAGACTTCCGGACAGCTCCGATGTCCGCTAGCGCACTCCCGTCTCCGCTGGGCAATACACTCGCCTGCCCTGCAGAGCCCACCTTCGGGCCTATCCCTCCTTTCCATTTCTGGGTTATCGCCTGCCTTTCCGCTAACCCCACGACCCGACTCGTCGGTAATATTCAGTCGGCTAATGTCTAACCCCGTTAGCTCCACTCCGTTCGGCTTCGCCAATTGCGGACCCGTCTTCGCTGTAACCATATATATATCCCACTTGTACATAGCTTACACTCCAGTAATAAAATCAACTAGAGTTACCCCCCCTTCGGTTCTGATTGCCAGTCAGTAAGTTAGGGCACGGACGTGTCACTAGGCACAGCGCTCTTGGCAGAAGTCGCTGAGGCCAAAGCCCTCTGCTACGGAGACTCTCCCTCGTCTCGAATCTGGTCTCTGACAGTTGTGCAGGTTTGTTGATGCAGGCTGCTTGTCATATCTATACATACCCAATCCCGATTTGACTCCTGGACCCTTTCTGCCACCTCCAGAGTCCTACCCTATTCCCATCCACTCCAATCCCCACCTTCTGCTCCTCCTGACCCTCTCCTGACTAATCTCTGCCAAGTTACAACCTCCCATTCCTGTCCTGTACCCCAAACTTGGACACCGATCTTACCTCTGCTCTGTCAGAGACCAGGTTGAGACGAAGGAATGTCTCTGTGGCGGAGGGCTTCGGCCTCAGCGACTTATGCCAGGAACACTGTGCCAAGTAACACGTCCGTGCCCTAACTTACTAAACTGGCAACCAGAACTGAAGGGGGTAAACTCTAGTCGATTTTATTACTGAGGTGTAACCTATGTACAAGTTGAGTATATATATAGTTACAACGAGGGTGGGTCCACAAATGGCGGAGCTGAGCAGAGTGGAGCTAATGGGGTTAGACATTAGCCGATTGAATATTACTGACGAGTCAGGTTATGGGTTAACAGAAAGGTAGGCGATAACCCAGAAACAGAAAGGAGGGATAGGCCCGAAGGTGGGCTTTGCAGGGCAAGCGAGTGTATTGCCCAGCAGAGGCGGGGGTGCACTAGCGGACGTCAGAGCTGTCCGGAAGCCTTCGGGGCTCCATACTTAGGGAGGCGTAGGTAATAAATTGAAAGGAGGGGGTGGTGACCATCGAGGGGTACTGAGGGGATTGTGGAATATGGGAACTCCAAGGTTAGTGAAGAAGGAGCAGAGGTAGACCAGAGGGATCGGAGGGATCGGAAGTCGATGGCCAGGGATGGATATGACATGCTCCGAGATTCCACCCTGGTCCCAACCTTGGACTTTGACTCCACCTGTCAGGGCACACACCCTGACTAGCCCACACCCAGACCTGCATGTGTGCTCCACCCTGCATGCTCCACACACTGCATGCTCTGGGCCTGGTTCCCATTTCTCATGTGACTTTCAGGTATCCCCAGAAGTTTTCACCATATTGGGTCACTGTGGGAAAGTGAGAAGTTAACCTTCTTCTCACTTTCTTACCCACAGTAGTTATGCCCTGAGATGGGCTGTTGTTACAGGCCAGGCTGTGGGCCAGAGAGAGGGGTCATGGGGACCCGGGAGTTGTCCCCTGACACCACCCTGGCCTAAGTCCATTGCATTGGTGACCTCATTTCATGTTAACACCATTGCCACCATTCCTTGGACTGCTACCCCCAAGCTTCATGGACCTACCTCGGCACCTTCACCATTTGTAATGTATACTTTGCATTTCTCCCTCACCCTAATTTGGATTCTATTTAGCCAGTTAGTCATCCACCCCACTTCCTCTCATCCTCCTGCCCCTCTGGGCCCTTGCCCTCCCTACCTCCTTTCAGATGCACCATAGAGTCTAACCCTTGACCCTTGGTGTAGTTCCCAACCCATACTTCCCTTTGTCTCTGTTTGGACACCTTTGTTCCATTTCAGACCCCCTTTGTTTCTCATACTCCCATCTGCCCTTTATATATAGATGATGTACATACTTGTTTGTTCCTCAGTCTGAAATCGACTAGAATTTGACTTGAAAGCCCCCTAGAGACTCTCCCCTTGCTAGATCCGAAATTAAGGACCAACAGGACAACCAGAAATGGCACAATGCTCCCCTTGAGTCACTGAGGCCAAGGTCCCTCCTTGATAAGTCTCCAATTCTGTTCCAGAATTGTCTGAACCTGCATGTTCTAGTGCTGCTATTGGCTGCAATGCTGTGAGCAAGCTGTCACGGATGGCTTGGGAGAGGTGGGGGTAGTGGAGTAGCACCTGGTGCTAGCAGCCCAGACAGCAGTCCAGACAGCAGCAGAGTGGTAGGAGTGTATGGTGAACTGCCCCCACTTGGGCTAGCATCCCTGTGTGGCTTCTTAGGCTGAAGCAGAAATGAGCAGAAGGCTGCTTCTTTGGTTCTGCTTTGGCTTAGTTTATATACAGGTGGAGACAGGTCATGTGAAAGTGCCATGTCAGCCTCAGGCAGGGCCAAGCTATCGCAGGTGGTTCCATGGGCGATCCTGAGTGTTAGAAAGGAAAGGTACAAGTAGGAATGTGCAGCATGTCTGGCAGCATGGTACCTGCATGGGGTGTCTGGTGTCGGACATGTCTATGCTACAGGTGTAAGGAGAGGGGGTCATCTGTATAAAGATAAAGAGGAAGCAAAGGAAAGAAAGAAAGAAAGAAGAGAAAGAAGAAAGTGGAAGAAGAAAGAGAGGGGAGCAGTGTGGCATGCCCTGACTGTTACAGATACAGAGTCT